ATGCATAACTGGACTCACACTTAAAGTCAGGCAAATACATAAGCACTTGTTTCTATATGTGTAAAGAGGAATCAATGGTACACACTGCTCTAAGGTCTCGATCCTATAGGCCCTGTGCACTAATAAATTCCATTGATTTAACTGGAAGGTTTGAGGGTGTTGGAATATAGCATCAAACAGTATATTTTCTATAAAAGGGATCAAATTAATCATTCCAACTCAGCCTTATCTGTGACATACAAAGGGAAACAATTGGATTTGTACCCTTTCTTGTTTCATAATGCAGCGTGAAATACATTCATGATGTTTCTTGGGAGAGGTTTTAAGGTTTCTACTTTTCTATGTTAGAAATTTAGGTCAATTTTAAAATGCATGTATTTTTATTCCTTGAGAAAATGAATAGTTAATCATGACATGAGAATTACTCCAGTCACTATACAATTAAAATTTAAGTTCTGCTCTGTTTCCATTTTAAAATAAAAGCATCTGATCAACACTAATGCCAAAAAAAGATCTTCATTGTCAAATTATTATAGTATTATTAAATGTAAGACACTAAGTGGCACAATTTCCAGCTACTGTTGAACCAGTTGCTATAGTTTTATACATTAAACATTTGATCAAAACGAAATAGAGCACTAAATCAGTGAAATTAAAATTCTGAATGTCTAAATAAGTAAAATAAATAACTGATTTGTTTTAAAGCGAGACCAAGTGGCAGAGAGTTTATCATCACAAAGAGAGAGAAAAAGGGAGCAGTGTCTAAAATGTTATGCAGTAATAAGTCTGGAAATCCTCCCTTCAGTTCTAATGTGTAATTTAGCAGCTCAGGTTGAATCTCTGTAATCCAGCATTCCGTGTCTGGCAACATCCATGGTCCAGCATTAGCAATGACACTATGCATGTTCCAGGATTGGAATAATCACAGGGAAAAAGCAGCACCAAGCTCCCTTCTCTGTTCAACTCTCCCATGCTTAGCAGCTCTTTCATTGCCCTGATTTGCATGTTCAAGCTCAGGGAGGAAGGGGAAGAAGCAGGGATGGGGCATGCTCTGGGGGAAGAATTGGGGTGGGGTCAGTCTATTGACTGAGCAAAATCCACACTCCTTTGCTTTCTTAATGATGTTATTGATGGAGAGAAGGGCAGAATCTGGCACTTTAGCCTACCCTTACTGTGTAATTGCTTTCAATGAAGGAATTGCATTCAATTTTCTGAGTAATAGAGGTATAAATCTTCTGTGGTTTTGGTTGACAGTTTTGTGTGTAAGCCAGTTATAGGTAGCCTTTTGTCTGCCTTGAATTTTCTTCATTTTTATAGATCTTAATGGGATTTTTCTTCTATTGTATTTTCTCTCTTCCAGTATGAGTAGATGGCTCAATAGAAACTGGATCATATTCAATCTCATATTTAAAGACATAGAAAGTAGTTTCATTTTTAAATTATTGTAGAGAAGGAGAATTATATAGAAGGAACATTTGCTGAAGACTTCCATTTTTTCCTGTTAAATTCTTTTCTGTCGTTCCTAAACAATAAAGGCTTTTTGTTTTTCACTATGAAAAATTGCATAAATATTCTAGCTTTGACAAATACAAAGTATAAAACATTAGGAAAACTATTGTAGGGATCAC